ACGTTTGGCATATGCTTGAGCTTCTGGAATGTTAAAACGTTTCTCTCATTTGTTTAACATCCTTTTGAAGATCGGCACAATGTGGACTAATTCTTTCATTCCGTCTGGAACTTTCATAGTTCTATTATATGCACCCTTTTGTTTGTCCCTTGTTTTTATGGAACCTGTAGAAGATTTGCAATTTCTGTCATGTTTTAATTATAAATAAAAAATAAAATTAATTATAAAAAGTTAATCAAATTTAATGGAACCTTTATTTAAATTCAACTATTATTTTTCCATGTTCTCCCTAATTGTTGATATTGTGTGTAAAGTTCATTAATGCTCATTGGTAAAATTCACTTGATAAAGCATAACGTTCAACTGTTGACGACTAAAACCACTGAAAATGAAAAGGGTGGACAGGTTTGATTTAATGTTTGTGCTTAATGCTTTAAAGTATTGAACAGCCATAAAGAATGAACATTGAATATGTCGACATTGAGTTAATAACTGATTAAAATATGATTTCTCATTAGTTATTAGTTTTGATTTCACTGCATCATCTAGAAAAATGAGTGAATGCAAAAATTCTCTATCAAAATTTGAAATAGAAAGTGTTTCAAATAATTCATCCCGTTGTTTATCAATAATTTTATCCTCTAATCCTTGCTTCTTGATTGTATTATATAATTCTTTATACATTAAAAAGTTTTTTAAATAATCTTCTGCTTCTTCTTGTGATAAATAAATAATTGGAATTTTGATTAAATGCTTTAAAGATTCAAATGTATCATCTGAAGGTGAACCTGAACGGTTGATATAAATTAACACATGTGAATAGGGGGAAGTGTTAGCAATAATGATAATTTGTTTTAATATCGTTAATGTTTTACCTTTATTCTGTTTACCAATTGCTGCAGTGATTGAATTTAAGTAACATTCAGAATATGGAATTTTCATTAATTTTTCCTTAGATAGAGCATTTCTATTATCACTCAATGCTTCATTAATCATATCATCTACGTATGTATTATATACTCCTGCTAATTCTTCAGAATTGAAATCCATTTAATCAAAATAAATTTATAATTTTAAACATTTCTATTCATCAATATTTCATCATATGAACTTCTATACTGTGGTGGTGTACCTGTTGGATGATATTTCAAACCTCTCATCCGGTGTCCATGTCCAATATGTAGTCCTAGTAAACCAAACCTGAGGAGGATTTGTCACTTTTGAAGTAAGTGTCATTTTCACCTTGAATGATTGGACTTTTACTGTAACTTGTGAGTTGAAAGTTTCTAATCCATCAAAGAATATACCCGCTCCATCACGTTGAACTGGAATAGTGCATAAGAATGAAGTTTGGTCTTTCCATGTTCTAGCTAATGGCGTTCCATTATCATCATTCAGTGGTCTAGTTAATGAGTCCTCGTATTCTTCTGTGCATTCATTCACTCCATCTAAATCAGAAGCTTGAAGCATGCGTGTAAAGAATATGTCACCCACTGTGGACATCGCTTGATCGGGGAAGTTTCTGGAATCTATAGTGACCTGAAGACCTCGAAGCATTGGATTTTCTAAAACTGTTCTTTGCATTGCATTCTTCGGAAATGTTAACACAACATCTGTAACATTATGAAGAGCGTATGAGAAATCTGAGCTAATACCTTCAGGAGTGATGCAACCTCCATTTAGTGAACGAACGTCAATATGTTGAGCTGGAATCATGAATGGATCTTCCTTACTGAATAAACGTGTATTGCTTTAACTGATTCTTCAATTAAACCGTATCCTGGTGTAATGCATTTATCCTCTAAAACTTCCATCTTTGTGCATGAAATAATAACGTCATCAACTGTTGCGTCAGCAGATGTAGCGGCTAAGCTTGTAATTAATTTGGCAGGAAGTCCGATTTGTTGGAATTTGCGATCATATTTATAAACATGATTCATAATCTTTTCATAATTTCATCAGTTATCTTTCATAAACGTAATTTTGTAAATCAGCAACTCTTAACGGGTCAACCTGACAAAATACTAAAGTATCCCTGAAAACATAATATTTAAGAATGATTTCACCAAATGATTTAGGATAATCATCGAACGCCTGAAATGCTAACAAATCATTTACCGGAATAATCATATCAAAAGTGATATCAACTTCTTCATTTGCGTTCTTGAAAACTTCTGAAGGGTCAATATATTTACCACATACTGAGTTATCATATTTTTGAACATTATTATATAACGAATGAACAAACTTTTTAACTTTCCTTTCTGATTTTGGTTTATATGTTGCAAATGCGAAAGATTCACGGGCGCAATCCATCTGAAGATAACCGGCATCACCTCTTTCGGTTTCTACTTCTAATTGTTTAAAGCTTTGATTTGATGATTTGTAACCAACGAATAAACGCATGCATTTAAAAGCGGCATCACATGTGAAAGCTTTATTTAAAACTAGAGTTGCTTTAACTTTGCGTTTAATATATGTGTCACCTAATTGGTTCACATCATGAGCCGGATTTGTAATTCTTAAATGAGTTTGTTTATCATCAAAATATGGAGCATCAGAGTCATAGCATGAACTTTCAAGTTCTCTATAATATCTTCTACCATCATTCTTTGCGAATATTTCATTTATCTTTTCGAATGAATGAAATACATTTCCATTAATCGGTTTAGTGTTTGGCACCAAATAGTTAGTCGTCATTTATTAATAAATAAAAAATCAAAATTAAAAGATGAAAATGAATTTTTAATTTTAATGAAATAATCAACTATGGCTGCAGGTATATTTAAGAAACTGTGGGATAAAGTAAAAAGAGGAGCGCATAAAGTTTGGGAAACATTGAAGAAGGGAGCAAATTGGATATTTAAGAATAAAGAAGCAATTAGTGACGTTGCTGAATCAATAACACCAAAAGCTGCCCCAATAAGAGAAATATTAAATAAAGGAGAAAAAGTTTATCAAAGACTTCAACCGATACTAAGATAAAAATAATTTTAAAATAATTTATTTTTCCACTATCTACCTCCTATTTTATTAAGTATTCCTTCAGCAATTCCACCAATTGCGTTACCTGCTTGTGCTCCCATCGCTGGATTACCTGCTTTAGTACCTAATACTCCACCTATGATAGTTCCTGCCGTTTTCGCTACTGGTGCCAAAAAGTTTGCTACAGGTTTAATAATATTTTTATGAACCCAACCTGCAGCTTTCTTAATTCCATCCCATAATTTTTTAAAGAATCCTGCAGCCATTTCTGATTTAATATTAATTAAAAAATATATTTCATCACTTATATTTAAATTTTTATTTAATGATAAATGAAACCGATTTTAAAAATAAATGAAACACAGGAGGAAGAAATAAATGAAAATGTTCAACAAAAAATAAACGTTGTTAAACCAATTACTGAAATAAAAATTTTTTCATCTGTTGAAGAATTTAATGACTATTATGCTAATAATAAAAAATTATTTGAAGAATTGACAACGTGTAAATTGAATAAAATGTTTAAAGTTGATGGATTCAAAATTTCAAAAATAAAAGGAGTGGTTAGTTTGAAATCTATTCCTCAATCAAGAATCACCTCATTAATGAAAATTGATGATTTAACAAAAAGAATAGAAGAGATTGAAGAGCGAATAAATCAAATTATTGATTTCATAAATCATGACTCGTTGAGCCCGGGTCCTTAAAGCCCATCACTGAGTTCAAGGTTATATTCATCAAATATTTCATTATTAAATGCAACTTCTGCTAGTTTATTTATTTTTTCAATACGATCATTTGAAAGTCTATCGTTTAATTTTTTCTGAAGTTTTTCATTTTCTAGTTCTGAAACTTTATTTGGATGATATGTAAATTCATGAAATTCTTTGGCCTCGGTTTTGATCATTAATTTACAAAGAACTTTTGTGGTTGGAATTCGTTTGAACCATTTATTAGTTATATTCGTTATATATTCAATATCTGGAATTAATTCCCAAATTTTTGCATTTTCAATTAATTTATTATCAAATGCAAAAGCAATGGGTTTAATATTATGTTTACCTTTATAATATAAACTTTCTACATAATCATCGAAATAAACATCTACTTGTTTAACATTTTCAAGAATTGGTGAAAGAGCATCCATTAATTGATTGACGGTTACGAATCTTGATCCACTCATTTTCTTACGAATTAAAAAAATAAATTATTCAAAAATGTCAGAAGAAAATATTTAAATAAATTATTTAAATTTTTTTACTCTATTCAAGAATTTTATTTTTGATATAACTCATTGAATTCAAAATTTTTTAAAAAATTGACACCATATATAACCAGTAGAAGTTCTGCTAAAGTATTCATAAACACCTTTTTATATCTTATTTACATCTAACATGCACCAATTTATTTTATAACTTTATTAATACTAAATTTTATTTCATACAAAAAGTAAAAATTCATAAGTTATATATTAATTTAATAAATTATATTATCATTTATAATAAAATTTTTCGAAATGCAGATAAATTTTAACATGTTCGAAATGAAACTATTATAAAATATATTCTTTTTATTAATGGTAATATAGGAATTGTAGGAATAAAAACTTTTTATAAATTATTCATAAATTTTTAAAATCTGCTATTCGGAAGTATGTTCAAAAATCATTCAATTATGTGAGAATTCTTACGATTACAAAAAAAGTCACACAACCCGCATCATATACTACTTATTTAATAAAACAAATACAGATCAATATTTTCACTGTCCATTAATCTATTTGGTCAAATATTATTAGATCCGGTTAGATTATTGTCTAAGGAAAAGATTTTGGCAATCTTGTCAAATGACAGATATCGTTTGTTTTTCTTTGAAGATTCAGAAGATTGGAAGATACTCGCCTCCATGTTATGAAAACATTTAGCATCATTATTCATAATTTCAAAGGATCTGTTTTTGAAAGCAATTCAGATTCTGGCATTTGACAGTCAGAAACACCATTCCATTATTTTATTATGGTGTCACCACCTGCCAACTCTCTTTTATTGTTAGCTGTTAAGCGCGCAATAAATATTGGAAACGCCAAGATTTACATCCAGCATCAAAGATTCTATTCCAATACTGATTACTCAACTTATGAAGTTAGTGCTGAAGACGTTCCAGGTTTCCTTAATGCATTAGTTGATCAAAGCTTCAACAACTTACCAGAATCATTAAAGAAACACAAGGCTGAATTGATTGACACTCACGTTACATGGGATGGATTGAAATATGAAATGTGCTGCAACACATTTTATGCTGTTAATAAAGGAAGGCTCTACTTCTTCACATACTGCTTCCAGCCAAAGGATGACCTCAAATCAATTCAAGCAGAAACACTTAGCTTTGAAATCACCTGCAGATTAGCCGACACTTGCATTTGCTCAACACTCATGCAGAGAACATCAATGGGTCATCGTAAATTCGACGAAAAGAGATATATTAAGCCAGCAGTTACTAACAAGGACTTCATTGATGCTTTGACCCTTGCTGTTTCTCCACTCCTTGGATCGTTCGATATCAAGACACCTTCTAATATTGGTTACGAACTTCAGGCTCAGGCTTTCGAAACACCAAGCACAATTCCAAGTGATGCTCCACGTAGAACAGTTTACAACAAGTACAAGCAGATGAGTGTTGTTGTTACTGATCCAGCTGTTCTCAAGCTCCTTCCAAGCCGTTGGGAATATGTCTCAACAAAGGATATCATCAGAAACAACGGCTACGTCTTTGAGTATTAAATAATTGGGTTTAATACATAAATTAGTTTAAGTATTAGAAAAATCGGTTGTTTTTTTACTGTATTTTACCACACAATTTTGAAAAATATTCATTCATGATTTATTTTTGTTTGAAAAATGATTTTATAAATGATTTTAGTTTCATTTGTTGAAGAATTAGTTTTGAATAAATAATTTAAAATTTAATGAATTATCTTAGACTATAATTAATTAAGAATAATGTAAGGGACTTTAGCTCACCTTGGAGAGCGTGCGACTGAAGATCGCAAGGTACGTGGTTCAAGTCCGCGAAGTCCCAAATAATTTTTCTTTTTCTTTCACAATTCTAGTTTACAACTATTCAAATTTGATTTAATATTTAATTCATCAATTAATCATTCAACTAAACAAAATTTATTATTTACGAGAATAAAATTTAGCTTATTTTTGTCTAAATATTACTTATTTCCTTGAATTTATCTTATATATGTTAAGGGTGCACCCGTATGTACGTTTATTTGAGAGGAGGAGGATTACCCTCTCAATTTTGAGGGATTTGTTAGTTTATTTTCTCGATGAATATGCAATAAAATTTGATTTTTACCTTATCAATATACTTCATATAATATACACATGTTCATGTAAAAACTTTTTTCCAAAATCCTCAGGAATTAATGGATTTTTGAATTTTAAGAATTTTTTTCGAATTTTTTCGAAAAAAAAATATTTTCAGAACAGCCTTAACGGCTAAGATTTAGGAACAATGTTAAGTATCAAAAAGAAAGGAGGTCTGATATAGACAACATATATCGTTGAAGGTTGAAAAAATCTCTAATATTTGAGCCCAAAATTTCAAATTTTAATTTTTTGAAAAAAGAGGCCACCCGTATGTACGTTTATTTGAGAGGAGGAGGATTATATTTTTGAAAGGGTGAAACATTATGAATATGTTAATTATATAATAATATGTATTATTATAAAAAAGAAAAAATAAAGCACGTTAAAATTTTTCTTTCTTGATTTTTTACAAAATCTACTTAGAATTATGCAAAATATGACTAAATAATTATAAATTTCAAGTTAAATTTTAATTTTGATAAATAATTTAAATTTCAAAATATCAAGTTCAGTTCGACTATGTATGTAGTAATTCCTCAATAAAGTGCCAAAACCCTATTAAAATATATGAACATTTTCAACATTTTAATGTTTTTATTTAAAAATTTGATGGAATATGAGCTTCAAACAATTATTATGTAAATAAAAATAATTAAATATATGTATTTATTCGTATTACAACCGTAGTAAGTCGATTCTTCCTTTCTTCTACTGAGATTTGAATTTGATTTCGAATTGTAAAGAGATTCAAAGGGAAAATACTAGCGGATAAAAACTACCTCCATGAAAGGGTCATAATGGACTCAAGTTGTATTTTTTGATATTTTTTGCTTTTCGAGCCTAAATAGGTAGCCAAGATAATGCCTAAAAATAAGGTTCTAAATTCTGAAGTTTACATGATCCTCTCGTGTGCACCCTTAATTTTTCAGAAAACCAAATTGTATTTCGAAACTCCATTTCCTTTGTAAAGTTTCTTATTCAAATTTTTGATAGAAGTTCGCACAATGGTTAGACAGAAAAAGGATAGGGCGACTTTAGGTAGGATATTTTGGTTTATAAGTAAAGCATGATATTCATTTGCTCGATATCATGTTAAACAAATAATGAAACAACGGTTTGAAATTATGTATAAAAATCAAATTAAATTTAATCACAAAAAAATAATAAAAATAATAATAAATAAATAAAAAAATAAATTATATACCAGCGAACTCAGTAGCAATTTCCTCATTGCTGAGAGGATCCTGGGGCAGTCCAAACTTCGCGTGCTTCATTTCATCGTTATGAGTCTTTACATCACCGACAAACTTCGAATAATCGAATGAATGTTGGTCGTCAAATGTTATTGGTGTCTGTGGCCCCTTTCTCATCTCTTCAGGGACCTTCTCTATGATGTCTGCGATTGATACTGCGTCATCTCCCTTTTTGGCGCTGCCGTGCTGTCTTTGCAATGTTCCAACTTGGAAGTTTGCCTTCTTTGGTGATACTTTGATGACCAAGTCTCCCTCGTAACTTCGGAATAAATCATCGATATTTTCTTTTTCTCCGAGTTTTATGAGTTCTTTGCCGGTTTTGTCATTGCCTGGGCTAAGCTGCAAAGGAGCCGGTCTGCTTTTGATCGGTTTCAAGTCAGAAAACTCATCATCCATTTCAATTTCCGAAAGAGTAGGAGTACTTGAGTTCCGAGCAATCTTTAGCCTATCCTGGGAGCTGTCCATTGGCTCCAGGTTGTCAAAATTGTCGAATTCATCACTATCGGGAGGGGGAAGTTTCCTTAACGGTTTTTTGATGGCCATCATCCCTGCAGGCATTGTTCTCCTCGCCGCGAAGGATCCGATGACTGGTCTCAGCGGGACATCGCCTGAAGGCTGCGAATTGTCCTCATCTGAGTCGATAAACATCTTGTAAAGGGGTAATTTGGATGATGGAGTTGTAGGTTGGATTTTGAGCTCGTCAGCGTCAATATTCTCGTCTTCCATGATGTTATCGATGTTGTCGTCATCAGCTACGTACTTTGCAAGGCCTGGTTTCGCTTGAGGTTTAGGAACTTCATGTTCTAGGTTGACCTGAAGCGTTTTAGGCTCTGCTTTCGGTTCTGGCTTCAATGAAAGGATCGGCGGTACAACGTTTATTGGTTTAAGATCAGCAAATTCATCATCATCGAAATCTAACTCTTCATCTGCCATACTTACACGCCTAGACGTGTTCGAACTCTCTTGTACTGGCTCGAGAGCATCGAAATTGTCGAAATCTGAGTCATCTGGCGGTGGAAGATTTTTAGATGTGTTATTTTCATCTGTATTTGGTTTTTCTATCGTGGCTTTCGGTTTTATCTGTAGTGTTGGTTGTGTCTGTTTGTTTGCAGGCTTCAAATCCGAGAAATCATCGTCATCATCGTCATTATTTAGTTTTAGTGTAGCTTTTTGAGGGGAATTCTTCGGTTTGAGGTCTGAAAAATCATCGTCATCGTCCTGCAGTGGCAATTTTGGTTTTTCTGTGTCCTTCTCCGGAGATATTTGTAGAGTTGGCTGATTTTGTTTGTTTATTGGTTTCAAGTCAGAGAAATCATCATCGTCATCATCAGGAGGTAGAAGAACTCGAGATTTGTTCTGATTTATTTGAATTGTCTGTTGTGGTGGTTTATTTATTGGTTTGAGGTCTGAAAAGTCATCATCGTCGTCTGGAGGATGTAATGATGGCTTCTGTTGGTTCTGTTTTGGTGTTATTTGTAATGTTGGCTGATTTGACTTATTTATTGGCTTTAAGTCAGAGAAATCATCATCGTCATCATCTGGCGGTGGTAATTTCGGCTTTTCTGTAGATGTTTTCGGTGTATTTTGTTTTGTATTCGAATCATTTTGGGATTTTTCGTTTGTTTGAGGTTTGTTTGTATTGTTATTCGATGGTATTTGGAATGTTGGCTTCGTTGGCTTCGAAATCGGCTTTAAATCTGAAAAATCGTCATCTTCATCGATATTTGACGCGTTTAATTCAGTTTTATCTTTATCTGTTGATTTGTTGAGGTCATCTGTATTATGTGCTTCTGCTACTTGTTGTTGTTGAGCAGAATAATTATGAGATTCTGATTTACTTCTTGGAGGAAGAGGCGGGAATCGCTTTGGCTCCTTCTTAGGAGGATCCACTGAGAGCGGCGATGGAGTTATTTTGCTTTCTTGAGGTTCATCATCTATATGGTTCAATTCTTCTTGGACTTTCTGGAGTTCTTTCTCTCTAGAGGCCAATTTCTCCTTCTGCATGTTCACCTGGACGAGTAAACTGTTCCTTCTTCGGTTAATTTTCTCTGTTCCGTCTCTTATTGTTCTTTCAACTTGTTCCAAGGATTTCTTACCATCAATGTTCATCGCTCGTAACCGTTTGATCTCTTCTGATACCTCATTGATCTGTTTCTCGAACTTTTCAGTAGATAATCTGATTTTTTCTCTTCTTTGATTAACAGCTGCGATTTCTCGGTCGTATTCCGCCTTCTTCTGCTCAAATTCAGCTTTGGCAGCCTTGTTGCGTTCTTCTGCGGCCTCTTTTTCTGAAATTGCATCGGCCAATTCTTTTTTCTTGGTGTTAATCATAAGCTTCGTCGCTTCTGCATATTTGCTGGAGTTCTCATCTAGGCTACTCGAGTCGCGAATTGACTTTGTGACCTTATGTTGTAATATTTGCAAATCTTTATCGGGAGTCGTTGGAATTTTGACGGACGATGATGATGTCCTGCTACTGTTTTCATCGATATCCTTGAAAATGGTTGGATTCTTTGGAGTTTTTGGAGTATAACGATTAACTGAAGAAGAAGAGGAAGAAGCGGCCAAATAAGTAGGTGTGAGTGATAATTTTCTTGAGTTACGGGTTCCATCGCTATCTCGTTTCGCAGAAGCTGAATTTCTTGATAAAACAATTATTTGTTTTTTAAGTAGTTCATTTTCGCGTTTTACCTCTTCCAACTCGGCGTTCATCTTTCTGGCTTTATCTTTTATGACGTTATATTTCCTTTCGACTGATGATGAATTTTGAGTCGCTTTATTTTGTTCATTTTCTTGTTCCAAGCGAGCGATTCTCTTTGCAGCAACATCCAGTTCACTTTTCAGCTTACTGTTCTCGTCCTGGAGCCTTTTCATTATAGATTTAATTGATGAATCAGAATCTGTAGGTTTTTCAGTGACCATTTCATTTTTTCTGCGGAGCTTTGCATGCGGCGATGTATCTGTAGTCTGGATTTGCGCTATCTTTTCTAATTCGCTCTGTTCTGTTTTTATAATTTGTTGAATATTTTTGATTTTAGACTGATAGTATTGAATTTTCTCCTCATCGGTCGCAGTAGATGAAGGATTTTGTGCAGCCAGTTCAGCGATCTGTTGGTTATTAAATAAAGCCTTCCGTTGAAAGTTTTCCATCGCAGCATATTTCGCTTGTATGTTGTCAGGCGTTGATGTTTTCTGTTCTAAATCTGTTTTGGCCTTAATGTAAAGAGAATTAATGAACCTAAGATTTGAAGTTACTTCATCATAGTTTTTCTTCAAATTTAAGCACATTTCTTGCAGGCTGCGAACGTTCTTTGTTGCCCTGATCTCCTCGACAGTAATAGGAATTCGAGGTTTGGACATTTTTCTGATTAAAGAACTTGATGAAGTTTTTTTTTCGCTGCAATGATTTCCAGCGGTTTTGACACAAGTCCTCAATAACAATCTCGTCTTTGACTTGAAAAATATAATATGAATAAGACACCTAATGCAAATTTGAAGTAAATCAAGAAACTAAATTTTTTTCTTCAAATTTGCGCATTTTCCAAACTCCTTTGTTTTATGAGAGTATTATATAGAGTTACTCATATAATTGAAAATGGGACCTTAGCTAAATGAATATATTGATGCTTGTTTGGATACATTTGGCCAACAATATGATCTTATTGATAATAGTAACCATTATCCACAGAAACCCTTTGGTTGTAGTGATGGGCTTTCTGTTGTATTCAAATAAAATTATACAAAACAATATTAGAAGCTATATAAGCGATTTGCTTATAATTCAGTTTTACTTATAATGAATATTTAGTGTATGATTGATTTATGAGCTGATTTTAATTTATCTTGTGTAATTACTCAAGAATATGTTGAATTTTTGGTTTTTGTGCCAGACAGTTAAAAAAATGAAATTTATACAGAAAGTATATATCAATATTTACTAAAAAATAATTATGACGACTTTCCATTTTTTGAAATTAATTTCGACTTTTACTGCATTTGAGACAAGAAAAATGATGAAACAGAATTAGAAGGTTCAATTGTAGCAAGATAAATGAATGATTTTTTTAATTTTGAAAGAACATAAAAAATAACGCAAAGCAGATTTATTCATTCTGCCTCTTATTCATTCCAGACTGCTGGTATCCACTTCCAGGAACTCCCGATGGAATTGCTTCCAAATTTAGATCAACATCGGCCATATTTTCCATTTCTAACTGTTCAAGAAGGCCTTCAGCACCATCAACTAATTCAAGATCATCTTCACCATTCAATAATGTGTTTGCTGTGCTGATTGACTCTTTAAGACCGTTCATTTTTGTTCTTGTTGCAGAAACCTTTTGAACATCAATTTTCTTCATATGAGCCTCAATGCCAGATGTAGCCTTATTCATGTTTTGGAACATTTGTGCTGCGACTGCGCCATTTCTAACGTCAACAGCATAACCGTTAGTTGTAGCTGAGGATTGTAAGAGCTGTTGTGCTTGTTTTTCATATCTGACAGCATTTGTAGCGAACAATCTTGCACTAGCTATTTGACCTTTCTTTTGCGCTTGTTTTGCTTTCATTTTTTCCTTCTGTGCTTCTTTAAGAAGGCGTTTAGCTTCATTTTCTAATGATTTGCCTTCTAGTTTCATCCTCATACTCGTTTTATCCATCATTTTCTAGATCTGAAAAAAAAATTTTTAGATCGAAAAAAAATATTCACCGGAAAAAATTTTGATAGTAAATAATTAAGATTAAGACACAATAATATTTACAAGTATCTGATTACAAAAATTTTTCAGACTCTTATTTAATTTTGTCAATTTTTCAGTCAAAAAAATTCGTTGACAGTTTTCCTTGATTCAATATGAGATATTTATTGGTTGCAAAATAAAATTTCCAGTTTTGAAAAATTTTGAGAAAAAAAAATCAAATGGAAGTAGGATAGTCGGTAAACATGTCTTAAGATTTATAAAATTCACTTGAAAAAATGCTGGAGTTTCATTTATCGTTAAAATAAAAAATGGCAGACAATTAAAATTTTTATATTTGTTCTGATATTTTAAATCTACTACTAATATAGAAATTATTTGTAGTTTTTAAATTTTTCCAAAATAATTTTAAAACTGGATTTTTCAAGAACAAAATTGAATTTATTATTTTCATTTTTTTGAATTTTTCTGACATCATGATCCCTTTTTTATAAATTTTATTTCGTGATTCAAGCGTTTTAATAGTCAAGGAAAAAGAATCAAAGCAAATTTCACTGTCAAAATAGTTTGAAGAATATTCTTTACTTTTTGCGGTTCTTCATATGACTGAAACAGAGAATCTTGTACCTGAAGGACCTGTTACTATACAAGGAACGCTTAAACACAAGGGCCGCGTTATTGGTATATGGACATCGTTGAACTATTGGTTAATTGGCAGTAAACTTTACGTTTCAAAGACAGATAAACTATCTGAATATTATAAAATCATAGAAATAACTCCAGACACTAATATTATATTAGTAGACAGGAAAAATAATACACATTTTATCATCGAAAACGAAGAACTTGGCAGATATCTTCTAAAATCGAATGCTGCGGAAGTCTATCCATGGGTATTCGCGTTACGCGCATGTTTGTATGCCGAACATGGCTATTCTATGGATCAATTTCGTATTATTTCTGTTTTAGGTCGAGGTTTTTACGGAAAAGTCATGCTCGTTGAAAAACTTGATACAGGAAAGTTATACGCACTAAAAACCGTACAGAAAAAGAAGCTTGTTGAGTGCGGACAAGTAGATACGATTATATCTGAACGAAACTTACTGTTTTCTATTCCTCCTCATCCATTCATCGTCTCTGCAGAGTTTGCATTCCAAACCAAATCTAAATTCTACATAGGTCTCATTTACATCATTTATCGAACTTACCAGTTGTTCCTATCGACGACACCCGTCTCTACACTGCAGAAATCATCTTGGCATTACAACATCTCCATGAAAATCACATAGTTTACAGAGATTTGAAACCAGAGAACGTTTTACTCGACAAGGACGGCCATGTTAAACTCACCGACTTCGAATTATGCAAAGAGATTAATGAAACAGACAAAGCAACTACATTTTGTGGAACAGCGGAATATTTAGCTCCAGAAGTTGTTCTTCGAATAGGATATGGCTTCAAAGTCGATTGGTGGGCACTCGGCGTATTACTCTACGAAATTCTTTTCAACGGAACTCCGTTTTACGATGAAAATCAATCTGTTTTATTTGATAACATCGTAAACGAAGAACCAGCGTTTCCAAAATACGGAAATAAGGTAGCCATTGAACTTATCAAGCGTCTGCTAGCAAAAGAGCCAGAAAATAGACCAGATTTCGAACAAATCAAACAACACGAGTTTTTCAAAGGCATCGACTGGGATCAAGTCTACAGAAAAGAGAATCCTCCGAAGAATTTCAAGAACGTTGATGAGTTTGACCCAGAAAATTTCTGTTCTGACTACACAAACGAGGCTCCTCTCGATTCCGAGGCAATGCCAGCTAGTTCTGCATACCAGGACATACAGGGCTTCTCATTCGCTGGAAGTGGTGTTTATTCTCACGACGGACAAGAATAATTTTATTTATTATTTGTAAATTATTTGTAAATATTGTGTTTTAGTGTTTATTTAATAATAATTATTACTATTTTATAATTATTATCTCAAATTTCGTTTAAAGAAATCTGATTTGATTTCATTTTTTGTGCTATGCTTGTACAATTTATAAATTTACTATTATATCCATACAAACATTATGTTTTCTTTCTATATCTATCAGTACTAATTTCTGATATATCTCTAATAACTCAACTTAGTGTTGTTTTGGATCCTCAGATTAAAGCTTTAATTTATACTTAATTCCAATTGAATGAAAATATATTTTGCTATTTGCATCAATTTGTGTGGGAACATATTGTAACGGATGATTTATAAATCAATGTTAGTTTTGAGGCTGGAAACACAGATGGCAATGTACAGCCAAATGACGACCAATATACTACATAATAAAGAACAGTTTATCTTTCAAGAAGTAACTCTCATTTAGATAGTTGTTCTTTGATTCATTCGGCACAAAATACTATTGATAATGAGTATGGATGAAAATAAAAGATAAGTTAGAATAACTTATTAAATCAATCAGTATAGGGTGTCCAAAGGTGCGTTTAGCACAGCGCTCTATATGAGACTATTAAAGGAGATATATGCTGATTATAAATATATAATAAAAAATATGAATATCTGTATATGATGAGTATGTTGTATTTTGGCGCCATGCCGGGATATAAAATGAATTTTGAGACAAGAGGCGGTTTCGCGGGAAATTTTGGCGGGATTTTTTTTCATTTTTTTAATGAATCATAAAGAAAACATCCTCGCTCTTGCAAAAAAATGCAAAGACTGTAAAAAAATCTACGAGACATTGGTAAAATGCTTCGGTATGGATGCTCCTAGCTATTCCACTGTAACGTATCATGTTAGGATGTATCACTTCATGAACAAAAAGGCGCCCATCATAAAAATTGACAAAAAATCGCCGGATCAAAGAAAAATCAAAGCAATTCTTCAAGCGCTAGATGAAGACCCAAGAGCATCACTCAGAAGGATAGAGGAGATGACAAAGATACCACGTACAACAGTCAGTTATTATCTGCACAATTATTTGAACTACAAACTAGCGTATACACGTTGGGTTCCGCACAACCTTAATTCAGTTCAAAAAAAATCTAGAGTCCAATCTTCGAAAGAGCTCCTCTCTATATTGGGTGCGTATCAATCCAAGAAGTTTCGCTTTTTAGTAACAGGGGACGAGTCTTGGTTTCAATATGCAACAGAAGCCAAAATCATGTGGATCCCGAAGGATGAAAATCCGCAAACATTCCCGAAGAAAAAAATTGACACACCAATGATGATGTTGTCGGTTTTTTGGGGCGTGAATGGCATCATCGCAATTGATATTCTTCAAAACCTAATACGATGAATGCTCAGTATCTAATTGACAATGTTCTTACTCAAATTATCAATTCTGATGAGTTTGAGAAATCCAAACAAAAAACAAAAGTTTGCAATTCATTTTGATAATTCAAGAGTTCAAAAAGTCATAAGGTAATGAATTACTTGGTGGAAAACAATGTCAAAGTTGTTCCAAACCCAATTTATTCACCTGATATTGCACCCTCTGACTTTTATTTATTCGGCACGCTAAAAAAGAGAGCTGAAGGACGCGAATTCGCGAGTCCAGATGATCTTGAAAATTTTGTAAGAGAGCAATTTGAGCAATTTTCTCATGATGATTTAAAGCGTGTCTTTCAAGCCTGGATCGATCGCTGCTAACGCGTGATTGAATCCAATGGTGATTATATTTAAATAAACTTTATATATATGTAACTTGTTTATTTCTATTCGCAGTATTCAGGTTTGTGCTAAACACACCTTTGGACACCCTATATTTAACGTCTTAAACGTTTTAACTCTGCATTTTGATATGATAGAATTTCGCCGCTATATGTTATGTTTATAGTTTTATCATTAATTTCACCTGGGCAATAATAGGTTGTATAGTGATATATATATGAATTTAGTTGTTCAAAAATTACAAAAGAAACAGGATTGTTATTTACAGTTTGAGTAATTTCGTTTTGATTAAAATAACAATAACTAACACTATAGTTTAGCACAAACCTGAATACTGCGAATAGAAATAAACAAGTTACATATATATAAAGTTTATTTAAATATAATCACCATTGGATTCAATCACGCGTTAGCAGCGATCGATCCAGGCTTGAAAGACACGCTTTAAATCATCATGAGAAAATTGCTCAAATTGCTCTCTTACAAAATTTTCAAGATCATCTGGACTCGCGAATTCGCGTCCTTCAGCTCTCTTTTTTAGCGTGCCGAATAAATAAAAGTCAGAGGGTGCAATATCAGGTGAATAAATTGGGTTTGGAACAACTTTGACATTGTTTTCCACCAAGTAATTCATTACCTTATGACTTTTGTGAACTCTTGAATTATCAAAATGAATTGCAAACTTTTGTTTTTGTTGTTTGGATTTCTCAAACTCATCAGAATTGATAATTTGAGTAAGAACATTGTCAATTAGATACTGAGCATTCATCGTATTAGGTTTTTGAAGAATATCAATTGCGATGATGCCATTCACGCCCAAAAAACCGACAACATCATCATTGGTGTGTCAATTTTTTTCTTCGGGAATGTTTGCGGATTTTCATCCTTCGGGATCCACATGATTTTGGCTTCTGTTGCATATTGAAACCAAGACTCGTCCCCTGTTACTAAAAAGCGAAACTTCTTGGATTGATACGCACCCAATATAGAGAGGAGCTCTTTCGAAGATTGGACTCTAGATTTTTTTTGAACTGAATTAAGGTTGTGCGGAACCCAACGTGTATACGCTAGTTTGTAGTTCAAATAATTGTGCAGATAATAACTGACTGTTGTACGTGGTATCTTTGTCATCTCCTCTATCCTTCTGAGTGATGCTCTTGGGTCTTCATCTAGCGCTTGAAGAATTGCTTTGATTTTCTTTGATCCGGCGATTTTTTGTCAATTTTTATGATGGGCGCCTTTTTGTTCATGAAGTGATACATCCTAACATGATACGTTACAGTGGAATAGCTAGGAGCATCCATACCGAAGCATTTTACCAATGTCTCGTAGATTTTTTTACAGTCTTTGCATTTTTTTGCAAGAGCGAGGATGTTTTCTTTATGATTCATTAAAAAAATGAAAAAAAATCCCGCCAAAATTTCCCGCGAAACCGCCTCTTGTCTCAAAATTCATTTTATATCCCGGCATGGCGCCAAAATACAACATACTCATCATATACAGATATTCATATTTTTTATTATATATTTATAATCAGCATATATCTCCTTTAATAGTCTCATATAGAGCGCTGTGCTAAACGCACCTTTGGACACCCTATATTTGGATATTGGTCAAATAAATAATTTCCTATATTTCCAATGAATGAACAATTTGAAAATGAACAAGAATTATCACAAACGATGATTCCTTTATCATCACCTGTAAATTTATTGTTTAAATAATTACAATTAATAATATTAATTGTAGAATCAAACATCCCGCCATTTTGAGAGGATGATGTATTTGATGCTGTTGTGAAATTAATAATTCCTTGTTCATGACTTGTTGGCTGTTGAATTATATATGCAGTATGACTATCTTCAGTACTGTGGCACTGCGCGCCATCTTACCGAAGATATGTCAATCTGACACTTTACAAAACCGTTAACGTATATTTTACAACACAACCATAACACCAACTTAACCTTAAATATTTACAAAGCCGCCAATCACTAACGACTTCACTAACGAATTCACTAACGAATTCACTACCATCCTCACTAAATAAAAAATAACCTTATTTTATTTATTTTCCAACTTTTTTATTTCATTACAAAGACATGTCCGACTATATTTACTATGACTCTTTCCCAGAACGTTTCCGTGAACTATTCAAAACTCAAGTAAAACTGAGAAACATGCATTTTAACAAAGACAGACCCATTGACGATGAAAGAAACCCTGAATATATTACAATCCCTTATGACGCAAAGTTCATTGCATACATTCCTTATGGTCGCAGAGGAACGAAAACTATTTCAACAAAGAACAAAAATTATTTCTGGAGCGATGAAGAAAATTGCCTTATCTACATAATTTTAAATAAAGCTACATATTGTACAAAAGAAGGTTGGACTGGATTTGAGCTCTACATATACGACGACGATGGAAACAGACGTTGTGTATACCCATACGATAATATGTACCATTGTTTTCATCAAGCATTAAACGAATACATAGTCAGTAAGGGTCTCATTCCTGTTGAGTAGATATGCTTTATTTTTGTTCTGTCATTTATATAAAAATAAACTTAAAAATTAATGATATCACCACCCTCACGCGTATGAAAACATAGCACAAAAATAAATTTAGGTGAAGTGGTGAGATCTCACCTCTTTTTTCACTCTGTTGAATTCATTGCTTTATAACTCTCTTCCTTTCTCCAACTCTTCTAACTTCTTCCTAAGTTTAGCAATGTTGTCCTCATGAAGTTTAATCTTTCTCAAAATTCCTTCTTTATCTAATGGTTGCTTTATCTTTCTAAACTGAACTCTACCATCCTTCATAGTATGAATGTAAAAACCTTCTGGAATAGTTCCTGATTTAATGTATTCTACCAAAAACTTTTGTTTCATTGCTTCAGTGACTTTATTTGTCATTTCAATCAAATAAAAATTTTAATATTAAATAAAAAGAACGTTATTTTTTCAGTAAGGAAACGCAGGAGTTTTACGATTTATTTGAGGAGTAGGTTCTGGTTTAAATGTTCGAGTCGGTTTAGGAGTTGACTTTTGAACAGGAGTTTGTACTTCCATAGGTTCAGGAGTCATTGAAGGCGTTGGTTTTGGCGAAGGTGTGGAGTTTGTTTAACTTCAGCTACTTCAGTATTATTTACAACATTTGCTTTATTTCTTTTCAACATCATAACTGCTCCTGCTGTAGCTAGCAAACCTAGTGGGAGACCATATTTATATAAGGACTTGACCAAATGCTATTTTTGACAGGAGCTGGTGGAACACCTAACCTTGGTGAGACTGCTCTTTGCCATTGTGCAGCTCGTAAGAAATATTCAATAGGTGCTCCATAATCGTTTGGTAAAGTTTGTTTCATAGATGGTGAAGGTTCACGAGAGCTTGATGAAGAACTCATTTATAAGCTTTAAAAATAAACGTTCATCCTTTATTCCTCACTGTCGTCCGTAGCTAAGTTATAGTCATCTAATCTTATTATGGGATGCCATTAGCACGCACCTGAATGGCAAAGCAACAATCCCTCATAAATCCAATAAGTGGCTTTGGTACATTTTCAGTTGCTAGTTCAATAGGTCCTTTAACAGACAATTTGTATGTTATTGGAGCAGTAGATGTTTGACCTTGCTGGAAGCAAAAGTCCACTTCTGTTGGAAAACCACATAAGAAATGTGTGTTGTCATAGCTATCCCATTTATGTTCCACACTACCATCATCCACCAATGACCTCATAACATCTTCATTAAATCCAATCATATCATTGTTTGTATTGCAAGCGTTCGCAACCATTTCATAAAATACAGGTCCATATGATTTTTCAGGTTCTGCAGGCATATTTCCATAAGCTCCCATGGAAAGCTGAAGATATTTAAACTTAGGGTTCTCAAAATTAACATAATAGTTGTCTTTCTTTCTAAATAGTGCCCAAATACTTTTAACATTAATAGGCGTATAAGCTGCTGTAAATGTTGCACTTGAACTATCTGTATTCTTTGAGAATGAACCGTCCATAGGAATCCAATCCATAACTTTAACAGGAAAACATAAAGCCTCGTTTGTATAATGTTCTACAAGTTCTGTATAAATGTTAGGGTCTAAAGAGAATGACTTTGGATGAATGAAACATTCATTAAAATCCATCTTTGTTCGAAATAGTTGCTGGGTTACAGTTGTAATAGTAACTGTTCCACTAGCTTCTACTGCCTTCGTTATCATAGTGAATGGTTCATTCCATGGAACAAATTTATTTGTCGGTGGATTTGAATCTGAAGCAAATGCAACTTTAAGAGTTGGATTGAAAGCAATGATATCATTTACAGATATAGATGTGCATTGTAAGGCGTCGCTACTGAACTTTACTTTAAGCTGAATGTTTCCTGCAAAAGCTGGAATAAATCGAATAGCTTCTAATGGAAAATTTCTAACAGGAATTCTTAAACGAAGCTTAAAATCAAATGATTTTCCTGCTGTAATTGGACCACTAACAATTTGTCCTGTTCTGCATGTTCCCGAATGACTCCATACATCTTCATGTCGAGTCTTTGAGAAAACATCTACTTTCTTTATTTGTTCGGTAGTTTGTGAGTTTGAAGTTATATATGCTTCTTCTCTTGCGTTGTCTTGAGAATATACGATACGACCATTTGCAAGGATTTGATATCCAGCAACTGCATAGAAAGCGTCATCGAAACCAATCCAAAATCCTGGTGGGTTTGTTTTATTGGAACCTGAACCAATTTCTTTATCTACAATAAATTGACCTTCCATTTTATACGTAATGAATGTATTGTAAAGGTCCAACATATTTTCACCAGGAGGTGAGAGATTGAATGTTACCCATGTGTTATCTTTAGCAGTTCCAGGTTGTGATGGAATCTTTGCGTCAGAATATTTTCTATTAGTGTCACCAATTTGAACTGCATTGTCTATGATATCGAAATATGAGCGAATCTGATGAATATGCTCTGCTGGAGTAAATTCGTTTAGCTGTTCGTTCTGCATGTATTTACTTCAGATAAAAATATCTATTTACTTCATTATTCTCACTCTTCTTCTTGGCATTCGTGGTGGAAGTTGTTTCTTGACATTTTCAATGAACTGTACATTCTCTTTTGTCTCAACTTCTTTCACTGGCGGGTCAGGGTTCTTTGACTCGGTTTGTTTTTCAATGAAATTCACGAACTTTGCAATAAGCTCTTGGTTCGTTATTGAAAGTACATCTGGCTTCTTTTCTTCTGGTTCTTTTGGTGGCTCAGTTTGAACAGAAGGTTTTATATGGGCTTCGTGGACTTCACCCTTGCCATGCACCTTAATGTTGTCGCTTTCTGCATTCGCTAATGGAACCTTTCTTTTTCTTACATATATTTTACCATCTTTACTCTGACTTACGTAATAGAAAGGATGTTGTATTCCTCTGCGTCATTTAATATAATAGACTCTCGTTCTGATTTTGACAAGCTCATTTTACATCGGTTAAAGTTTTAATTTTGTTTTTTATCTGCAGTCAAATGACTCAGACAAGCCCTACGGACAAGACCCAAGGGGTCATAGATGTTGAAGCATTGAAGAAAGAAATTCGCGAGCAAATTTTATCCGAACTGAAGGAACAAAAACAAGAACAAAAGCCAGAGAGACCAAAGAGAAAACTTAGTGAAAAACAACTTGCTGCATTAGCTGCTGGAAGACAAAAGAACCCAAGACTACTGGCGAAAAAAGCTAGAGAAGAAGCTGAAGCAAAAGCTAAAGAAGCTGAAGTGAAGAAAGAGTAAATGGTTTATTTTTATCCGAATTAAATGTATAGACAAATACCTTTAACTGTTGCGTTCAGTAGTGAAAACCCTGACGTCAAAATAAAGGGGAACAGAGTAACGTTTAAGTTTCCAACAGACTGGATTGTGAACATAAATGAAGAGAAGTACATTGGCATAACATCTATGTATATAACACGTGCTTTCAGAAAGGTTGACTTTATACTTCAAGTCGAGATAGACAATGACGAACAGTCTTTAAGCGCCCAAAACATTCACATATACAAATACTTTAAAGACGATACAACATTGTTGCAATGTATGATTTCATTTAATGAGATGTTCGAGAAAAAGTTCAACATTGAAGTACAAACTTTACAGCCTTTACGTGAGTTTCTTGCACAACTGAAGGAAGAAGGTAGTCGGCCACAACTTATAGACTTTCATTATGAATTTAATGAAAATGAAGATGGAACTCATGACTGTCTGTTTGTTATATATTCACCATTCAATGAAGTAGCTAAAGAGAAAGAAAATCCATTACGTATAAGGTTTCAAATCTCTGAACCCAATGAAGATTTCAAGAATGTTTTCAATTATGATGCAATGCTTCCGAGGAAAAATGAATTTTCAAAGATTGTAACACCTGGCATTTGGGATAGAAAGCAAGCTATATTATATTCAAACTTAAGTAAGGGAGTTGAAAATGAGTTCATTGGTCATACAAGAACTTCACCACTTCCTAACCCTAAATACTATAAATTAACTGGCTTCAATCGTGAGTTTTGGATAGACATGTTCTCCACTCATGACCATAACTGCCCAGTGTTCTTACCTCCAGACCATAAGGACTGTCTCTACATTGAAGCACAACTCTTAAACTCTACCATCGCAGTATTGTAAAATCTACGCTAGCTTTATTTTTATCACGAATGACCTCATTGCTGACAAAAATAAATGACCTCATTCATGACCTCATTGCTGACCTCATTCATGACCTCATTGCTGACAAAAATAAATGACCTCAGAACTTCAACTTACGAATAAAGCTTGTTTTAGTCGTTATTGAGAAGTTAAACTTCTCTTCAAAGCAAGGTTGACATGACTTACATAAGTCAAATCCAATCTCTTGACCGTCATAAAGTGCTTTATAAAGTTTCATGACACTGAACTCAGAGTCTTTGTCAAATTTTCCTTGCGGAACCATTAAACCTTTATCTTCATTGTAATAGCATTGTATAGCTTCAGGAAACATTTCATTAGCGGTTAAAGCAATAACATCTTGCTTCACGCCTTTCATTCTGCAGTGAAATGCAACTTCATTTAAATCGTTAGTGAGTAAGTCTATGTAGGTCTTCTTTCCACAAAATATTGACTTGTATGCTAAACTTTGTTTTCCAGGTGTTATTTCTGCGAAGTCGCTATGAAACTGACCAAGGTTTTTACCAATGAGAACTCTTCCATAACGTTTCTCAAACTCTTCAGCTAAACGAGGGATATCTTCATTGTAGAGATGCATACTGTCGGTATCGCTATAAAAGATGTCCATTCCTAAGTCTTCAGCAGTACAGAATACTTCACACATTATTCTCTTCGACATAGATAGAATATTAACACCAAGTGGACAGAAGTTAAAGTGTCTGCAAATGCTTTTCGTTAGCTTGAAAATAGTTTTATCTGAACCATCCAAACCTTCGAACTTCACTATATGGTTGTAGTTTCTGATGCATATCTTATAGCATCTTTGTCATTTACTATGGTTATTTTTGACTCAATAGGAGATAGAATAGTTTTGCCATAAATACTGTTCAGAATGAGCTTTATATTTTCTTGCAAAGGATTTCCTTCTTTCTTATACTTTAACCTTAACTCAAACAACTTCTTTACTTCATCTCTTATTCTAATATCTCTGTTTCCATCGTAATAGTATCCTTGCAACACTTCACATTTGACACCTTGATATTTTATGAGGTCTTGTAATGTTATATGGTCAACATACATTAAACAGCAAGTGTTTGAACTTCTGGGAACGTTAAGTTCTGGATTTAGTTCAGGGTCACAAACTATTAAAGGAAAGTGTCTGTGTATACCAATCTCTGTTATCTTAATGAGAACAAAGAAGCCAGACATAAACTTTTCACCAATGGGTTCCTTTTGGTCGTCATCGAATAAATGTCTCATGAGATACTCTGTGCTTAGCATCTCATCCTTCATAACCTTTGGAATTCCTTCCAAAGTATAAAGTCTTGCTATAGCTGATGGATATAATGAAACAGCGTCGAAATCAGCAATGAGTTTCTTTTCGCTCTTTTGTTTAATGTTATCTGACAGCATACATCTTCCACCTTGAATGCAGCGTGAAATAAATTCTCTTGGTTTATTTGAGAGGTCATATAAATTTCCATTCGGGAAGTACACTCTGTTCTCAAACAATTTGTTAGCAATTGAACAAATACTAACGTAGTCATAAACGTTTAAACCAAACTCTTTCAATAAGTCATTTCTGAACTTTACAAAACCTTCTCCTTAAAATTCTTACGTCCTGTTTGCAATAGAATGTGCTATATTTTTCTAAATCGAAGTGGTTTTCATCTATTCTGCAACCTTTGATGGAATCTATGTTTTTCATGAACGTTTCAATATCTTTTACAAACTTACACGCTTCAGAAATGACACCAGTTCTGTTGTCATTTGCTAACAAAGTACTGCTGTAGTAGTTGTATGGAAATACTTCTTTCGGTCCTGTTTGTAAGTTAAACATAGCAGGAAATAGTTTAAGCTTCTTATTTATAACACTGTAAGAGTCTTTTATAATAATTGCCCGTCCTTTATATAAGCCAGTTATTTGCATTGTTCGTGAACCTTTAATGATGGGAGTTCCTTTCACTTCTGTCATGTCTTAAGATGAAGTTTATATCATAACTGAGGTTATGGAAATATATTAAACTCTTGTCAGGAAGTCGCTCCAAAAATTCTGTTGCGCAGTTTTGACCCCATATGCTTTCACTCACTGAACCATCTTCACTGTCAAAACAGATGTTAAAAGCTTTATGAAAGCCATCGGTACTGCACTCAAAGTCAGCAAAGAAAACGTGCTCAGGAATGAACTTGCACTTATTTTTATTTACTTCTTTTGACTCTGCTTTCTTCTTCAGTTGTACACAATACTTTGGAGCATATGTCAAATCTTTAAATGGTGCAAGGTTCTGTTTATATAAGTCAGTCGTATATGTGAAAAGTTCTCCATAAGAAATAGGTTCGAAATATTTGCACTCCCACAATGTTTTCATAACATCCCATAACGGTGTTGTTCTATCATAACGAACTACATATTTGTTCTCTCTCTTTGTATAAATCTTCATCTGTTTCTCAATGTTCATTCCACCACAAGCTTTGAGAATTTCTTTATAGTTTCGAATGAAGTATGTTGTCATTGGTAATCTTTCATTTAGCATGTAGTGGTGTTCAACAAGAAGTAAGTCAATAGTTCGAGCAGTTTCACATTCTTTTGGTATGTAGTGAATTATTCTGTTATCTTTGGAGTTGTCGAAATAACCAATGGTAACATTAAATGCTATACCAGTTGCGTCAGAAATTTCTTGTACTTTACTTTGAGGAAAGTCTCTAACACGAATGACTTCTCTCATGTGGTCAATAGTTTCTTCATTTACTCCAGCCTGAATGCAAGCATAAACGAAACAATTGTCTTCTGTCATAAGTGTTGCAGTTCTTTTGTTCAGTTCATTGAAGATTTGGTAGCGTTCAAGATTTATAGGTAATGTGCAAAGATACTTCCAGAACTGACCGCTTCTCTTCTTATAAAACTTCTTTTCACCAAGGATTTCATTCCAGAAGTCATCTATATCTTGTTTATCTCCTGTTTGTTTAAGTCTGTTCAATAATCTTTTCTGTCTTTCTGTCAGTGTGCTTTCATCTCTATATGGTCGCTTCTGTGGCTTTCCTTTCTTTACATCTGACATCGTTAAGCCTTCATATTCTGTTAAATCATACATCTTTATTTCAGTAAGATTCTTTATGTTTGTCAAGAAGAAGTCATAGTGCATTTCAACAATACCTGCAGCATTTGCTTCTATCTCTGATATAAAGTTCTCCTTCAAGAGCTGATGTAGTAATGTTCCAATATTATTGAGGTTTAACGTAGAACATTCATACTTTCCACCAAGTTTATAACATACCATCCATCTCTGTTGGGAGTTTATTTTAATCTTCTCTAAGAGTCTCATGAAAACCTTA